AATCAGAAATGCCTCATATAGATTAAAAATTGAAATTTGTTTTAAATAATTAATAATAATAATAAAATTCTTTTAGAAATCAAAAATAAGTAAGTATTACAGCAATTAGATAGAAAACTACTAGACATTTAACTTATAAATTAATTCCTTAAAAATAAGAAGAAAATTAATAATTAAATACACCATAGAATAATTAAACATAATAACCACCAACTTAATAGATTATAACTACATAATAATAAGGTATTAGTTAAAAAACAGCAAATTTGAATTTTACTGCTAGTTAATTGTAATTATTTAGAAAATAAACTAAAAGAAATCTAATGAGCAATTAAACAAATATGCCATCTCTTAATTAGATTGCATCTCCTTAAGCTTTAATTCAAATATCATCAAATTAGAATGTTCTTGCTCCTAGTAATAAATTGATTCATTAGAAATCTATCTTTAGTCATTAATAATAATAGAATTAATAAATATCATAACAAATAGATAAATTTGATAAATATTAATAATAATCATCAATACATCTTCCATAATAAGATCCATCAAATTAAAATATTTTAGTTGGTATACCTGATATACCTTTAGATCAATCTTTAAATGTTATGGATTCTTCAATCAAAGAATAAACTCCACTTAATTGTAGAAATGGTGATTAAAAGAAATTTATTGATTCTACAATTAGAATGATTAAATTTAATGATATAGAATTATTCATAAAATCAAAACCAGAAGTTTTCAATAAGACTATTCCATTATTTAAGATTCAAGAGTTTTTTCTTGAAGGTAAAAGTATTACACTTTAAGAGAATAACAATAATAAATGGCATTTGATTTCAAAAGAATTTCTATTTGAAGCATTTAAAAATAGTGATGATGTTACTAAATATTATGAAAATGAATTAGAAAATGGTATTAGAAGTGTAATGATCTCATTATTACTTCTATTAATAATACATATTTTTTTTATTATACTTTCTCAATTACAATAAGTAAATACTTAATAGGCAGTAATAAGAGCATTAGGTTGCTTTTTTATTTTAATTGAATTATACTTTTTGTAAACTCATTTTTTTGAATGGAAAAGAAAAAGATTATTATAAGTTATACTTATATAACTGGTTACTTAATGTATCATATTAGGAGTATTCTATGATTAAGATAAAGGCAAATCAGTAATCTTATCAATAGAATCAATTATTACAAGTTGTCTTTTATTTGCACATAAATGGCTTTATGTATAAGAGAAGATCTTAATTTGTGCCTTTATGTTTACTGTATGGTTAATTATTATCAGTTCAGTATTTATTATTGATATTTGGGAAGTATTTTTTTTATTAATTTCAATTGCTTTATTATTATAAAGAGAACTATTAAGTTATTTATTTTCTTATAAATAAATGCTCAATTAATAACAAATAGAAATAAAAAAAGAAGATAAAATGAATCTATTGAGTTGTCTATTACCTATACATGTTTTGAGTTAATTCTTAGATGATTCCACAAACTCAAGGAAATTCTCTGATGTTTATAATGATTGTACAATTCTATTTGCTGATATTGCTGGATTCACTAAATACTCTTCAAGTGTATAACCAGAAGAGGTTGTCTCTATGCTTAAAAATTTATTCGATGAATTTGATAAATTAACTTAAATACATAATGTATTTAAATTATATACAATTGGAGATTGTTATGTTGTGATAGGAGTAACTGATAATTTTAAAAGAGATCCAATTTAAGAAGCATTTAATGTTGTAGAAATGAGTCTCAATATGTTAGAAGCTATAAGTTTAGTTCGAAATTAAATTAATTACCATGATCTCCATATGAGAATTGGAATCCATACAGTATTTATTATTTTTATTTTAGGGTAATGTAATTGGGGGTATCATTGGTACAGATATCATTAGATATGATGTATATGGAAAAGATATTTTAATTGCAAATAAAATGGAAAGCAGTTCTGAAGAGGGTCGAGTGTTAGTGTCAGAAACAACCAAGAAATTAATTGAAGATAACTTTGCTTAATCATATATTTTTAATGGACGAAAATTAATTAATATTCCCTCCATTAACACAACTATTACTGGTTTCTTCTTAGAAACTGCAATTTGATTAATTAATATGCTACATATATTATTTATATTTAGGATTTATATCATCATATATCATATCTCCTTTAAAACTCTTATTTATTTTATAAAAGACTATAAAATTGAATTTCTATTAGGTACTATAATAATTCAATTTTAAAAAATATAAACTATATTGATTTCTAATTTCTTCACATTTATTATATTTTTAATTGAATCTTATATATTAATTTTTGTGTGCAATTGAACTCTTTCAAAGTATTTAAATATAATGAATATTTAATATTAAACATAATTAGTAATTGATATTACTTTAAAATTTTTGTGTATCTCTAAAAAATGAATTCATTATATCTCTTTTTTTAAGAAATAAATGATGTAATAATAGAAAATGATTTTATTTATACTATGTAATATTTTGAGTTTAAATTCAATATTTAGATTATTATAATTGATTATTATAACATTAATATGAGTTCAGTTTAAAAGGAATTAGATAATTCAAATTGTAATGGAAGAGGATTGTATTTTGAATAAATTTGTCAATGTGATTTAGGATATTTTGGGATTGAGTGTTCATAAAAATTAGAAGACATTCATGTTGTTTCTTATTTCACATTTATTGGATTATTTTTAATCCTCTTTATATTGCTATTAATTTTTACAGTAAAATAACTTCAATTATCACTTAAAACAAATAAAATTCCATCATATTAAAGGTAGATTAATAATAATAATATTATTTAGAGGATTAAGTTATCTAAAGAATTTTGTAGGTTCTCCGTTAAATTGCATTTTGTGTTTAACTATATTATTTACTGTTTTAAAAATCTTATGGCTATCTTTAGATCCTTTTAAACCATTTGTATAATAAATCATATATATTAGGATGGTGATAAAATTATGTTTGAAAGAATATTAGCAGAAATAGTATACACTATACTTTTTTATATCTTTGGAATTTTACTTATGGTTTGGTATACAATGTATGATGAAATCTCATTCAATATTTCAGAAAGAAATAACAACTCAAAATCTCAATTATTATTTAGAGATGAATTAAAAGTTGATACAAGAAAATGGATATTCGTATATTATAAGGATATAATGAAAATAAGACTTTTCTTTGTATTATTAATACAATTAACAATAAGTACATTAAATGGTAAAATAAATATCTAATTAGGATTAAGACTAAGTTAAAAATATAAAACAATACTTTATATAGCATATGTAATTTTACTCTTAAATTTCATGTAATATATATATATATCTAATATCCCAAGTTCATTTATACTAGAATTCTTTCTATATGGAAGAAAACTTAATTAATGCATAGAATCTCAATTAAGAAAATTGGACATAGATAATGAAAAAGAAATTTAAGAAAACTCAGAATAAGTGAATTAATAATAATAAGTAAATATAATATATTATATTTATAGATAGTATTTAATAAGAATTCACTTGGAATCTAATAAGAAGAATAACTTTAATCTCCAGAAACATAAGATTAATAAGTATTAAGACTTAGTTCTTAAAGTGAAAGTGAAGAAAATAATGAGTAAATATAAACATAAAGAGCATTTGTTTCTATTGAAAGATTAACTCTTTCAAATATAAAAAAGTCTGTCTCCTTTAAAAAACAACTATAAACAATTAATGAAATTCCAAATCAATTGATCAATGTTAAATTTGTTAAAAGTTCACAGAATTTAGAAGTAGATAATGAGATATAAGATTGCCATTTGAAAACTATAATGAGTGAAGAATCATAGAGTTCAAAAGAAGATGTAGTAATTCATTAGAAAGTTAATTCTTGTTTATTGAATGAAGATGATAATGCTTAAGAGAATATTAAATGGGATATAGATAAGAATAGATAAAATATTAGAAAAATTAAAACAATGTAAATAAAGATTGTTGAAAAAACAAAATAGTAAGTAAATGAAATTAAAAAGTATAAAAAGGCTACAATAAAAAATATTAATAGGGATATATTATTTGATATTTAATAAAATGATGATAGAAAATCTAAAATTCAATCAGCAGATGATTATTAATTAGAAATATCAGCTTAATAAAAATAAATAAAGACTGCTAATTTAAATGTAGATAAAAAAGTCATAATTAAAATTTAAATATTAATTTATGCAGGAGTTTCCCTAGAAATTTGTTTTGGTCTATTATCAATTATTATTTTATTAACAGATCTATTGAAAACACCTTCAGGTAAAAAAATAATTAATTGATTATATATAGGAACTCTTTGTTATTTATATATTTCAGCTATGTTGTAGTATCTATCTTTGATTACTGTGTTGAAATTATTTAGAGATGTTAAAAGTCAAGAAGTCTTGAATCTAATTTGGATATAAAAGGTTGGAAATGGTAAAAATAAAATCAACTAAAAGTTTTACTTTACTATTCCACAATTATAAACAAAAATAGATGATTCAAAGATGAAATTTGAATAAAGAATTAATAAACATATTGGATGAAATGAAAATTAATTTATATATGTTAAAACTCAATTAATTATGAAATTATTATTATAATCAATTTAATTATAATTAAAAAAAGGTTTAAAAAGTTTATATATATATATATATTGTATCATAAATTATATTATTTTAGAATTAGATTCATAAGATAGACTTCTTTAGTTCTTATATTGGTTTCAATCAAATTCACTTTTAAACTATTTCTTTGATATTATTTGCTCCTAATATTGTTAATGTCTTTCTACAAATAGATTTAATATATATCCTTAAATAGATATATATCTATTATATTAATGAATCAATCACAATACATTTTTAGTATTCAATAATACTACTTATGTATTTAGATTTTAAATATGATATAAATAAATAAATGTAAATATTGATAAATTCTATTTCATATATTTTGCATTTGTATGAGTCTGAAATCAGTTTCAAACTTTTGATCCAAATAAAATTGCAATTATGGTATTAAAAATATCATATTCTTAATTATTGTAGTTCTTCTCAATAAATATGGATAAAAATAATGTATCATAATATAGGCAAGCATGATACTAATTGATATATAGATACCAATAAAAATCTAATAATTGTTAATTTAATTACTTAATGAGTTGAAATTAATTCTGAAGTCTTCAATATTACAGCATGAAATACTTCAGATTTTAAATATAATATTGTATCAGATGTTATTAAACCTATTTCAACCTCTTAAAATGCACCTGATTTATTCCTGTATTACATTTAAAAGCCTTAAGTATTTTCATATTCTGTCTTTATCTATCTATATATTTCAGTGAGTGTATTTATTAATCCTAATTTCATCACTCCATTGTAAATTAGATTACAATGTTGTTCAGCTAGACTTTAATTATACTAAGAATATTATGATAAATAATAATTTACATGAGTAATATAATTACATAAATTTTATGATTGTACTTATTCAAACTTACCAATAAAGTCATCATCAGTTAATGATGAATCACTAATAATTATTTTTATATTTTTACAAATCAAGAAATAAGTAAAATTATAGAAAATCGCTTATTTTTGCAATCTCATTTACAACCTTTACATTTTATTCAATACGTTTTTGATCAGTAAAGAAATCAAAAAAAGGAGATTTACCTGAAATCATATAATTAATTTCTCTAATTTCATACACTGCTGTTACTGCTGATCCTAATTATGATAATTTTAATAATAGATCTGTACTTTATGAATATTTATCAAAAAAGTTGTTATTAATAGAATGTAATATTAATTATGGAAGTAGATAAATAATAAGTATTATTATAAATGATATCAGTAATCCTAATCTTGGTATTTTATATTCATGATTTACTATTCTATTCAAATTAATTTTTTAATTATATGATGATGATTCAGCTTAAATTTCTTTCTCCCATATATTAACTTCAAAACTATAAACTTAATATGCATCATCATGAATCAATAATTGGATCATTTTTTATAATTTTTGAATTTCTTTCTATAATGCAAATGTATTTATATTTGTGAATAAACTAAATAATACTGAAATATTATATTGATTTTGCAAAAAGAATGAAATTCCCAATATTGCTATTAATAATTCCAAAAATAGCATTTTTAAAAAGAACTTTGTTTAATTAATCTAAAAAGTTTAAATTCTGGATTCAACAAAAATTGATACTTCATCACTTAAGTAATCAAAATAATCGTCTACTGTGATAATATTAGCCATATAATAAACAAATTCATTTGAAGGAACATATTAGAGTACTTTGTAATAATCTATTATAGATATAAAATATTATGATTCCTAATAATAAATCAAAGCAGATTTTAATGAAATATTTCTTGGAACCAAACTTAAATTCTATAATTAATACATTAATATTTCTCTATCATAAAAAAATTCTTAAATATTTTAATTGTCTAATTATGTTGAAAAAGATTATTTCAAATGTTCATATGATTTAATAATAGAATCTAATCCAAATTACATTTTATCAAATGCAACCTCTTAACTAATCTCTTTAAAGAAATATGTTAAAAGTATATAATTCACAACACTAACTTGAGCAGTTACACAATTATGTACTGGAGCCATTATATTACCTTTAATTGTTAACATATCAATATCAGAATTTACTTACTTATATTATGGTAAAAAATATGTCAGATTTAATATCTAAAAGATAATATTAATTAATAAGACTATAAGAAATAGAAATAAAGTAATAGTAATCTATCTATTTCTAGTACTTTAAGATACAAATATGTTTAATTTGTTATATTTTTCATAAAATATAGAATTATCTAAAAATCCTCTTGAAAATTTTGATGAGGCTTAATCATTATTAATATCATCTTATTATCCTTTTTAGTTCATTTTTGATTTTTTTTGCTTGTCTAAAATAGACTAACTATTGATATTACTACATTTCTTTATTGATTCTTATTGTTTTATATCATTTTCAATTAGTTCTTAACTAGGTTTATCTCTTTTCTCTAAAGATAAAGGACTATTTAATTCATCTATAAATAGTTGATTAGGAATTAGGACTAAAGATTCTTAATTAAACATTAAACTGCATTGTTGACTTGGCTCCTAACTAAATATTTCTTGATTTAATAAATAATCTATATTTTCATCCAATATTAATAATTCTACAAAGTTCTTTCTTTCTATTAATTCTAATGTTATTTCTATTTAATTTTATGTAAGATATCCTTTTATATACTTTTATCCAATATGATATTTATTTAAAATAAGTATTTTACTGAGTTCTTATAAATATAGCGATTTAGAAGTGAAATTAATATATTTTTATTGTATATACTTCAAAAATGATGTTGTATAACCAATAATTTATTATTATGAATTTATAAAAATAGAATTAGGTTATTCTTCATTTATTTTAATGAAAACATAAAAAGATAATTCTGACTAAGTAGAATTTTCAATATTCAACTAAAATAAAGAATAATAATAAATATTATCTAATCCTCTAATCAACATATCTGAAATCTTATTTAAATATTTACAAGTTCCACTTTCCAAAAATTGCTTTATTAATTCTTAATGAATTTCATAAAATACATCTGGAAAAAGCATTTTAAATTAAAAATATTATTCATCTTTTACTTTATATCCTAATCTCAATAAGAGACTCTAACTAAAATATTTGATTTAAATATTTAGCAAATTATCTTCCAGTTTTAAACAAAGAAAATCCATATTCTCTAAAGGGTTTTATTTCAATTCTTCATTATTTAACTAAAAGTATTTAAGAATTTCAGCCTCTATTATATTATTGAAAAATTCAACATAAAGAATAGTCAATAATTAATGAATACGATATGTTTTCCATACAATTAATTCTAATCTTAAATCTTATGATATTGATAAGGCCTATTTAAGAATATTATAACTTTTATTAAATATACTATTATTCTTTGTAGACTTTCCTTCTAAAAGTTGAGAATAAAGTTCTTCTTTTTCTTTGAAAATATTCAAAATTTAAAATTGAGTTTTTTAAATTTATACTTTGTAATTAATAAAAGAATTTGTATTAAGCTAATCTAAGTCTAAATTTTTATTGATATTGTAATTTAATAGTTCATAAACTTCACTTTTTAAAATTATGAGTTTTAATTATTGAATAAATGAAATCACTGACTAAACTCTTATAAATTATTAATTTACTTCAGAATAAAATTGTTATTCTTTAAAATTATGTATCAATATTAATGTTTTTGTGTATTACTTTTATGAAAATTTTATAAGAATATATTTATAGTACCAAAAAGCCTTATGGTTTTTCTTAGATTTAATAATTTTATTGTTGAAAAGAATCAATTCTGAATGAAAAGGATTCTTGGCATATATTGTTATTTGTTTAAGCATTAAAGTCTCAAAAATATCTTATTTCATATTATTTTTATTTTATTCATTGAGTCTTAGTAGATTATTATATATTTAAGCAATTTTTCGATTCTTTTAAAATGTAATTTTTGTTGATTATCTTGAGTAATAAATAACTAAATTTAGAAACAAGGGACATAAAACAAATAATAAGGCAATTTGATATTCCTTTTCTTTGGTATTTACAATGAAAAAGTATGATAAATTATTGAAAAAACTGTATGTAAGCAATAATAATATTAAAGTATGAAAGCTATTTATATTTTTTTGGCATTCTAAATAAATGTAAAATCCAAAAATTATTAAATTAATGATACGAGATAGTGTCACTTAAAATTCTCCTTATTCATGATTTAGATATAGATTTATTACTATTAGAAATATGTTAAAATATTATCCTATAGATAATATATTGAAATGAATAGGTGAACTAGGGAAATGAATTGATTCTGAACACATCAAACTTAGTAATATATATATTAATTTCCAACAAAGGAAAAAAAAACTAAAAGTAAGTATTTAAATTGAATCAGGTAAATTTTAAATTGCATCTTTTATGGATAACATGAAAAAGTCTAATTCATAAAGTGATATAGTATATAATTGTATTTGTATAACTAAAGAAAGTATTTTTTCATGATTTTTATGGGATGCTTTAAAATTAGACTTATTTTGTTTTATTTTTTACTTACTTCTAAGCTCCTCTATCCATTATGAGAAAAAATCAATCATAATCAACATTATCAGAAGAGAAGGTATGAGAAATGCATATTTTCTGAATTCTTTATCTTTGTTTAAAAAATTATAGGGTCTCCATATTTAGCTGTAATACCAAAATAAATTTAACAAGTTTATTTATATCTTCTAATTGCTTTCATTTTCCTAATTTTATTAAAGCAAACAAATTAGTTAAGAGTAGTAAATTATAAATAAGAGAGAAACAAAAGTTTCTGATTCAATTTTTACTCTGTGATTTTGTTTTAAGAAATAGCTTAAAACATAATGATAAAATTATATCATTAAATTAAATAAATAATCATCCTAGAAATACAGAAAATGAGTGAAAGAATATACATTTAAACAAAAATTAAAAGAATTGACGTAATTATTTTTATATTATATTTTCTATAATATTCATCCTTTCAAATTTCAGTTACATAATTATTTAGTAAAATATAAATTTAAATGGATTAAGATAAAATTATATTTACTCTAAATTTCTTAGAAACACCTCATATAGAATTATTTAAATAAGTTATTTAAATATAATTAAACATAATTAACTGTATTTTAAAAAACATCTAAATACATAAATAACATGTCTGTGAAAATTCTAATTTTATTAGGACTAATTGTATTTATTACTTAGTAATTGGTGGCTAGATGTACTTGTTAGTAATTATTTTGGAAAGAAGAATGTTTGATAGGAGGGTGCTTTTGGAAAAATAATATTTGTATTTAAGTGGGTTGTGAAAACAGAATTAGTGAATCAGAATGCAATTAAATCACAGCAACTAATGATTGGAATCCAAATTGTAAGTGGATTAATGAAAAATGTTATGACTTAGATACTTACAGCTGTGGTTATACATGTGAAAATTCAACCATGTGTGAACCTGATATCAATGGAGCTTGTGAAATAAAATAAATTTTAAATAGAAAACATTGTTCAGACTTTTCAACTAATAATTGTAATCAACAATTGAGTACTTATGAGTTTTGTGAAAAACATGATCATGCATGCACTTTGGTAACTTATGATACAAAATGCTATCAAATTCTTACAGAAAAAGCTTGTCTAGGTTTAGGATGCTATTGGGATAATAGAAATAACTTAAATAAATGTAATTCGAAGGATTGTTTCTATTTTGATAAATAAAATTGCTCCTGGGCTATTAATAGTTAGAGGTAATTCACATTTTGTAATTGGAATGAAACAAGAGCTTTTTGTTAAGAATCAAATAATACAACACCATTTACTAATATCTCTAGATGCAGTATAGATTCAAATTTTATCTATCATTTTGATAACAGTACTGGAAATCAAACATGTTAAGCATGTGTTGATCCATAAGAATTATATACTCATATATTGAAGATCCTATCACTTACAATAATGAGTCTTTATTGATTTAATGATAATAAATTATTTTTCAGATCTATAATATATTATTTTCTAAATTAATTTTATTAATGTAATTTGACATAAAATTATTTTTTTCTTTTTTTATATATAGTTAACTTTAGAATAAATATTTCAAATTTAAATCTTAAAAAATTGCTAAAGGTTATTGAACTAGATCTCTAATAAAAAATTAAAAAAATAGAAAAACAAAAATTTCTAATTATAATGATTCCTTCAATTAAAAAATAATTTTAAAAAGATATTGATATAATATCACATATATTGAATTTAAAATACCCTATCATAATTTTATAACAATTAGAATGAGATTAAGAAATCCAAAAATATATTGATTTATTTATTATTATTAACTATATTTTTTTTGAAAAAAATGTTAAAATTTATTAGTTCATAAAACTAATATTTTTGGAGTCATACAATAAAAATAAATCCATCTTTTTATTTTATCCTAACCTTGATATTGATATTTTTTAATAATATGAGATACCGCTAATTAAGAAATTGCATATTCATTTGGAAATCTAATATTTTTTTAAATGAAGGTTTTAAATAACAAAAAAACAAGAATATAGAACAGGGAAGACATTTAATACTTTGTTTTTCCAGATAAATTTGATCATACCTAAAGTGGTGTTCCTGGAAATCCTTGTTATAACATAAGATTTAGAATTTTTGTGTTTTTTTCTTACATTGTTCTAACATAAATATTTCAACTTTTTTGCACTCCAACAGATAGGATTATTGGAATTTAGGATATTGGACACTTGATTACAACCCCAATTAATAATTTATATAAAGAATATCGATGGTATTTCTATTTATGATATTTAGGTTTTCTATTTTAATATAGTTACTCTCAGCCATTATTTTAGATGCAACTTACCTTTATATTTCACTTTATTGGGTTATATACCAAAGAAATTTTAGATTATTTGCTTCTCTAATTATCTTTTATGTTGTTAGAGCTATTCATCTTAATCTTGTTAAATTGGAATTTCCATAAGGTTACTTTTGGGAGGATCCTAATATCCCAAGTTTGGTTGTAAAATATGGATATTTTTCTGATTTCTTTTATTCTGTAATATTAAATCAATATTATAATAGGGACATGTTGGATACTTGGTTATTTGTGGACTTGAAATGAGAATGATAGATAAAAAGTATATGTCAGCATTTTTCTTTTTTTGTTCTTTATTTTAAGCTTTTGTTGTAATTACATTTCAAATTCATTACACAATTGATGTAATATATACATTTATGAATTAGGTAACAACTGGATGCATATTTGCACATTATTTTTATAATTAAGCATGTTATTGGGAAGTAAAGATAGATTTTATCTTAAAAATATTGGCCAATATTTTAGTCTACAAACAAAAATAAACTATTGGTAAATAAGAAGTTTAAGGCAATAAATAAATTGGAGTGATAATTGTGTGAGAATAGACAAATTTTATTTATTATATTTTGAATATTTTATTATTTAGAGATTTAAATTAAATAAAGATGTAAAATATATGATAACAAAAATAATTTTTAGATTACAAGATCAAATCTTAAAAGAAAGTTAGAAATCTAAAGTAAATGCTTAAGCCAAAATCTAATTACAAAAATAATTTAATTTATACAACATTTCATATTAAATTTATCTTAATTTCTATTAAATTTATTTATAAAATCAAATGGAATCTCAAACTTCAAACTAAAAGTGTAATATTTCATCAATAAAAATTGTTATATTATCCTGAAGTATTATTAAAAAATAATATAATTAAAAATGGTATAAATACTATTTGTTTTATTCAGATATTATTTATCCATTTGAATTCAATAAGTAAATAAGATCAAAAATTTCAAGTTTGAATATAGTGTTAGATTTAATAAGTAAAACTAAACATAATTTTTATATTCTAATTTTTAATTATTATATTTTAATTTGATCTTATGAATGGAGTTGTGAAGTATTTAATAATTTAATTAGTTCTTATGAATTGCAGTAATTTAGAACTAAGTCCCAAGATAATTTGAAATCAGTAATTTGAAATGAAAAATTTAGATATTAGTTATGATAACAATACTGAGTGGATTTTGCTTTTTATACAACGCTTATTTAATATTTTAATGGGATTATAAAATCACCATAATCTACTGCTGTGTATCCTCTTTCACTTTAATGGTTCATAGATTACTTAAAAGTAGAAGGTATAAAAATTATTATTTTTAAGTCTTTCCCAATACTGTTGTTTTAATATTTTTGAAAGTTTACTACTTATATCATATTTACTTTCTATAGTCTATTATATAGAAATAGAGAAAGTTAATATAAATTTCATTTCTTATGCTTAATTAGTCTTACAATTCATAATTTTAGCAGTCACAGTTCTTGTTAATAGAAGTACATCTGATACTGATAGTTAAGATTAATCATTTTAAATTTAAGAGATTGTAAATTTGATCTAAATCATTCATAGCTAATCTCAGCATTTAAAAGTATTAGCGCACTTCAACTTGTCTTCATAAGTCTTAGAATAACAAAACAAATTAATTGGGGATGGATATAAACATTAATAATAATATGGTTTTTATTAGGGTTGTCATTTGTGATTTCTATATTTTTACTTATTGATATTTTATAGAAATATAGAAATTAATAAGATGGAATTGAAGAAGAGAAAAAAAAAATTATAAGTAAAAATGAATTAGATTATTTAGTTTAAGGAGAAATTTGGTTAAATTTGATTTCATTTGGTATAACTATATTACCATTTGTAACATTTTTTGGATTTGCTTTAAATTATGACTTTAAGATTAAATAAATAAATTAATATGCTTTTGGATTGACCATCTTTTATTATCTAATATAATTAGCTTATTATTTTAAGTTTAAATAAAAACTAATGTAATATTTCAATAATAATAGAGTGATTATCTTTTATATTATGATATAGCTTAAGGTAATTTGTATGTTGATTAATAATTATAACAAATTAATTTAAATCAACAATAAATTGAAAACAGAATAGAATTTAAAATGAAAAGAATGCATAAGATAAGTATATCAAAAGTACCTTAATTTATGGTTAAATTATCATAAACATATTATAAATGTGCATAGAATAGGGATTCATAATGCATATAATCTAAAATGCAATTAAACTAATTAAAATAAAAGAATTAATAATTAGAAAATGATAATGAAGATGATTAATCAAAAAGATTTGATTTATTATTATCTAGTCCTAGATAAAGATTAGAAATCAGTTCTAGTATAGGATAAGATTTGACTAATAGAAATTTTGATAAAAAGTAATTAGAAGATTAATCTTCTATTAAATAAGAGTAGTAAAATCAAAATACTTAGAAATTGTGTTTAGTTTGTTATGAAAAGGAAAGCAATATGATTAATATGCCATGTGGTCATGGAGGATTTTGTAAAGAATGTTGTGAGTAATTATTAAGCAAAAGTGAAGTTTGTTATTTATGTAGAAAACCTGTTACTCATAGTTTATAAATATAAGAAGTTTAGAATAGAGAAAGTTTAGTAGAAGTAATAGAAGTTTTAGAATAATAAAATTAATGAATAAATTGATGTTAATTGTATCATCTTATTTTTGTGTTTTATTTTCATCAATTTTATTATTATTTTAATTTTATAGAAGGAATTATTTTATAAAAAAAATAATTTATATAATATTTCACCTGTTTTTAATGGTAAATAAATCACATATAGAAATGAAATTTAAATTAACTTGATTTTATATGTTGATCATCATATAATTTAATCGAGCATACGATCAAATTATATGATGATCATATTAATTTAAAAATTTAATCTGATATGGGCAATGCATGTTGTAATCATTAAGAGATCCATTAGAATCATTTCTAGAGTCATACATAAATTCTCATTCCTATGTACAAATAAACTAATATTTGGGATTCGTTCTAAGATGATGATGATGAAAATATTTCTTCTATAAAACAATATATAACACCTAGTGCTGCATCAAAAGTTGATCTTGATTTCTCTTCAGATACAAATCAATCGAAAATGAAATAAACAATTTAATTACCAGGCACCAGAAAATCTGTGAAGATAAGTTATAATAATTTCATAACTATGAAACAAGGGGAATGGAATGAATAATATAGTATACTCAAAAAATTAGGATAAGGAAGTTATGGATCTGTATGGCTTGGCTAACATAAAAAAACTGGTATATTAAGAGCACTGAAATAAATTAAAAAAGACTCATTATTATTTGAAGATTAATAAAGAATGTTATCTGAGCTGAATATATTAAAATCTTTAGATCATCCAAATATTGTTCGTGTTTTTGAATGCTTTTAAGAGGATAATTAATATATTATTGTTACTGAGTAATTTATTATTATATAAAGATACCTTCCTGAAGGAGAACTTTTTGAGAGAATTAAAAAACTGTAATGTTTTAGTGAAAGAATGGCAGCTGATTATATTAAATAAATACTATAAGCAGTTAATTACTGTCATGATAAATAAATTGTACATAGGTAAATAAATAGTAAAATTTATATAGAGACATAAAACCAGAGAATATATTGTTGAGTGGATAAGGTGAAGAAATTAAAGTAATTGATTTTGGAACATCTAGATATTTTTCATAAAATAATAATATGAATAAACGATTAGGAACTCCTTATTATATTGCTCCAGAAGTATTGAATGGATAATACAATGAAAAAGTTGATATATGGTCATGTGGAGTTATCTTATATATTTTTTTGTGTGGTTATCCTCCTTTTATTGGAAAAAATGAAAATGAAATTTTCGAGAAAGTAAAAAAGGGAAAATTGATTTTTGACAAAGAAGACTGGTCAATAATTTCTAAAGATGCATAAGATTTAATTAGCAAAATGCTTAATATTAATGTTAATAAAAGGTTCTCTGCCAAATAAGCACTCCTTCATCCATGGGTTTAAAAAAATGCTAAATAGGAAATTATATCTCCATAATTATTAAATAACATATAAAAATTCTATGTATTTCTTTATTTTCTATTAAATATAGGTCAAAAGTAACTTTCAAAAAGCAATCATGACTTTTATGGTTAATTAAACTCTACAAAATTAAGAAATTAGTGAATTAAAGGCTACTTTCCATGCTTTAGATAAAAATCATGATGGAAATCTTAATAAATTAGAATTGATTGCTGGTTATCAAGATATTTTAAAGAATAAAGAATTAGCTGAAGAAAAAGTTAATAAAATTTTAGATGATCTTGATTTAAATCATTCAAATTTAATAGATTATTCTGAATTTATTATGGGAGCAATGAAATTCGAAAAATTAGTTTCAATAGAAAGAATTAAATTAGCATTTCGTATGTTAGATACAGTAATATAAAATTATAATATATTAGAATGGTGATGGTTATATATCAAAAGAAGAATTGGAAGATAGTATGGGATTTTTAGAACCTGAAATATGGGAATCATTTTTAAAGGATTGTGACTTAAATAAAGATGGAAAAATATCAGAAGAAGAATTTACTAATATTTTAGTTACTTTATGATATATTAATTATTAAACAATTAATTTACTTCATTCTTTTATGCCTAAAGCTTATTATAATTTATCTACTAATTTTGGCCCTCCAAATTCCAATGCAGCATTAAACATATCTCCTATACGACACTTTAATAAAACTACTTCTTCTTATATCTTTTCAATTATTTCATTAGAATTGTCTTAAGTATGATTTAAAGATTATGCTTCAATCAATGCTTATTGATAATTATTTGATATATTTATCTTCTCAGTCTCCAATTCATGATTTTTTTATTCTAACTCTTTTATTGTGGATTATAATTAGTTAATTTATAATTCTTATTGTTCCTATTATTATATAATTTTTTCATTTGTAAGTTAAATATTTTAGATATATTCAAAATTTTCACACTTTTATTATTCTAAATTCTCTTTAACATTCTCTAAAAATTTAATCAAATTTTATTAATCTAATTCAATTTATTGATAACTTTATATTTCTTATTATAAACGTTAAATTAGATCATCCTTATCTTTCAAGCGATTTACATAATTATTAGTTATTAATTATATCTCTATAGTATGTTTACTTTCCTTTTCTTTTATCTCATCATCCTTTTCTTCCAATTATTTTTTTAGTTCTAATAATTTCACTTAATCATCTTAAGATTATTATTATAATTGTTAGATCTATTTAATAAAATCATTATTTTTTAATATATTCTTCAGATTTATCTCATCTATTTATTATTCAAATTTTTATTTATTCTCTAAACATTGTTTCTCCAATTATTATGCTCTTTCACTAATTATTTACAAATCTTCTAATTATTAATTTAACAATTGATTCTATTTCTATTAATTCTAAATCTCATCTTCCTTTTCTTTTATCTAATTGGCTAATTCTAATCCTTTATGTTCTAGTTCATCAATATATTATTAAATTATTTCTTTTTCTTTTAGCCATTCATCATTTTCGGTAAATAATTGTTATTATAGCTCTTATATATCATTTTAATATTGTAATTAACTCTCTTTGATTTGAGTTTCTAATTCTTCAATCTTTTAATTTTATTATTCACTAACAACTTTTAATTGCTCTATTTAAAGATTCATTTCTGTTTCTTTAATTAACCATATCTCTTATGTTTTAATTAAAGAATCATTTTGATTTTTAACTTAATCTATATCAATTTAGGCCTGTAAAAGGACAGATGTTTTTTGATTCAATTAAATAGTTAATTCTTCTATTTTTTGCTCCAAAAATTAATAATTTTCTTATTTATTTTCTAATTGTTCTATTTACTGAGTATTTAATTATCTATTAAATGAATTTTATTATTCATCATATTCAGTTTGAATTCCAATTTCTTAATCTGCTAATAATATTAATTCTTATTATTTTTTAATTTAATTTTCTTATTATTAATCATTCATAATTTCTAAATCTTTTAGTTTCTTATTCAAATTATTAACCTATTCATCTAAAATTGATTTTTGCTCTTTTAATTAAATAATCTCATTTTCTAATGTAGCATTTTACAAAATTAAATTATTATTTTATAGATCTAATTAAGTTTTAGATATTTAATTTTCTTACTATAATTACTATGTGTTATTAATTTATTCCTTAATTTAAAATTATAATTACTCATTTACTATAATTTATTCTTAATTTTATTAGTTTAATTATGAAATTTTACTTGATAAATTATTAATTAAGTCTTCTTTATTTAAAATTTCTATTTACAAAGCCTATAATTTAATTTATAGATCCTAATTTTATTGATCAAATATGTTAATTTATTCACTTAATAATTCATTTTTCTATTTATTTTAAATAGATGAATGGATAATCTCTTTATTTTAAATTTCAAAATTTTATATTTTTTCATTCTATTTATTAGTTAATTAATTTAAATTATTTAAAAATTAAGAATTTGTTTCTATTTATTATTGTAAAAGTTAGTTTTCACTTTAAAGATTATCAATTTTTTATTTAGCTTAAGATAATTCAAGTGTCTATAACTAAAATTATTCAATAACTAATGACTATTGATTATAAGAATTATAAATTTCTTCTTTTTCTTGATCCTATATCTACTTTGTATGTTATTCTAAATCCTACTTTAATTTAGAAAATTTTTAAATAATTGCTTTATTCAATTAAGTTAATTAATTGGGAAGATCAGTCTCATCATTTTCAATCTAAGGATCTAAAAACATCTTTCTCATAACTTATACCTAACTGATACTATCGTTTATCAGTTATTACAATTAATTTGTTTATTGTATAAGTAATTAAACTTAGTTTATTAGTTCTTACTCTCTCTCATGTTATTGTTTTAATTGTTCCTATAGATTCTATTATTTTTCGATATATTTTTAATCTAATTCCATTTATATTTATTGTTTTTCTTATTTTGATATTTAAATTTATTTTAATAATTCATCTATTTCTAATTTATGATCCTATTTTTGTTATTCACATAAAGTCTAATATTAAATTAATTGATTTTTTATATCATTCAATTCATTAGATAATTTTTCAATATTTTAATTATTTGAACATAAATAATCTTCTTATTATTTCTTAATTTCTATATTTTATTGATTAATTTACTATTATTGATCAATAATCTTCTTAGATAATTCTTCAATCTAATAATTATAATAAATCTATACTTTTTCATTATGAATTTTTTCATTCTAATAAAAACAACTATTTTAATTCTATAAATTTTATAACTATAAATTTAAACTATTTAATGTTTCTTTTTATGAATTTATTAATATATCCTTTTCATCTAGATTATTTTTAAGTAACAATAATTATTAATTCTATTATATGATTTAATTTTCAAAATTGATATTTCTTAATTAACTGTCATTATTAGATCTCTCTAAAATTGAATATAATTAATCTTTTTTATTACAGATTTCCTACAATTCTTAAAGTTTTTACCTTAAGGATGATGTAGTCTATTAATCTGAATTGATACTTTTTTAATATTAATTATATTCCTCAGATAATTTATTGTACTTTTACATAGCTTTTTTATAGTTTTATGTTAAGTTTTCATTATCTTTTTATGCTTACCTTAATTGACTTTAAATTTAACTTAATTATTATTCATATTAATATATTTATTCTTGATATATGTTTTAGTCTATCATTTTTTCAATCTACTTTTTTTATTCTTATAATTAAAATATCAATGCCTCCTTTTTAACTTTCTCAGTTTATACTTCCTATTAGAGTTAATTATTTTATTCTTTAATTTCCATATACAAAATCTTTTATTAATTGAGTTCTTCATGAAGATGTTATAGATCTGATTATATTTAAATTGCAGTGCAAGAATTCTATTGTTATTTTGGAGATGTAAGTTGAGATGAAACATCTGTTACAGAAGGATGTTTTATTTAACTTCTAGAAGATGATTTTTCCAAATTTGGTGATTATACAGATTAATTATCACCAAAATACTTTTTTGCTGTATTTTCAAGGGCTGCTTTAAATGGTGTCAAAATGCCTGGTTTTTTATCAGAGTTTTACTCATGAATTATTGATTACTGTGGATGAATAGCATCAAAATCTACTTCACCAACTTCTGTTAAATTAATTTTTGAATATATTTTGGCTTTGCTATCAGGACAATTTTCTAATAGAAATTCTTCATTAATGTCTAAAGTGGAATTATGAAATACCATTTTTATATTAATTCAATTATTGTGCAATATCAATATAACATTGACCTGCCTTTTTATTACCTTTTGGTGTAATGAGTAAAATTAACAATTCCATTTTCTTTTCTTAATATATTCCATTTATTTAATACACATTAGTTTGTATTGCAAGAGTTTCATTAATAATAGCTTTTCCTTAATTAAAATCAGCTAATTACTATGTTTGAACTTTCTAATTCCCTTAATTGATAGATATAGTATATACCACATTTCAATATTACTTACAATTAAAAAGATAAAGTACTCTTCATTTCTACTTTTTCAATATGGATTTACACTTAATACTTATAACCTTTAGGATTCATATATAATTAATTTTATAATCTAAAAATTATCAATAAAATAAAATTCATTTAATAATTAATATGAATTCTTATAAAAAGTTAGAAGTAATTAAATAATAAATTATTTTATATACAACAAATATAAATATTAAGATTCATGTCTTAGTTTATCTTCTTTTTAAAAAGTTTCTTCTTATTTCATTATCTACAAATAAATAATGATGTCTAGTTGATATTTAATGCGAATAAACAAAATGTTTTTCTTCTTTGATATCTTTAATAGCATAATCCATATATTCATTAAGATTTCTAAAATGATGTTTTATTAAATTTTTCCAATTAGAATTAGTTATATGATTTTTCTATTCTAAATTCTATAATAACTTAGAATATTTTGACTCTTTATCTTCCAATCTTTTTTTCTCTTTTGAATAAGAATCATTTATTTCTTATTATGTTATAATCCCTTCTTCTAAAGTACTACTAATCTCACTCATTAAACTATTAAGTCTTGTATTTTTTGTTTATTTTTAAACAAGAACACTTTTTGAACATTATATAGGCTTATATTTATTTGAATTAGAAGAACGAAATGAATTCAAATAGAATTCATGTTCAATCGGTGGTAATTTAGCCTATGCTTACAATTTATCTACATAATCATAAACATCTTATTTTGATTTAAAAGTAGACTATTATTTTTAAGGTGTAACCATTTTTTTTTTGGGTCTATAATTAAAACAGATTTCAGCATAAGTGTCATCCAGCATTAATTATTATATAAATTACTAATTATATTTTTTTTAATACATAATCAATTGATCTTCTTAATTTTTAAGATATTTGACTCATCTGGATTCTCCTCACTTCCTCCTAATAAAACAATACCCTTATCCCCAGTTTTAATGATTCCTCTTGTCTTTGCAGATTTGATGGCGTAATCAACTAAAGTATCAACTCCCTAAAAACTTGGAACTCTTAAACAAGTGACTCCACTTGTCATACTTAATCCTTTAATTGTTTTATCTTCAGTACTAAAGATATTATTATATTCTTAACCTAATTGCTATAATAGGAGCTCTTGGTCTATATTTAGCAACAAGTCTAGCAATTTCTCCAGTAAGAGTAAAACAAATAATTACATGAGCCTTTGTTTCAAAACTCATTTAAACAGCTGAAGCAGCCAAAGCTTCAGTATCCTCCAAAGATCCTCTACCATGAATTCTATTCCAATATGTTTTTTCATGATCTACACATTTCTCTGCTTCACAACATATCTATCAATAAATTAATAACTTACTCTTCCCATAGTTTCTACTGCAATAACTGGAAATGCTCCATTAGCAGTTTCACCAGAAAGCATAACACAATCTGTTCCATCTAATACAGCATTAGCTACATCTGATGCTTCAGCCCTAGTTGGTCTAGGATTTGTTATGATAGATTCCATCATTTATGTAGCAGTAATAACAGGTTTTCCTGCATCTAATGCTCTTTTAATCATCCATTTTTAAGCCTAAAATACTTTCTATGGAGGAATCTCCATTCCTAAATCTCCTCTTGCAACCATAATCCCATCTGCTGATTTCAATATTTCATCATAATTTTGCATTCCTTCTTAATTCTCTATTTTAGCTATAATTTTAATTCCACTTCCTCTAGGACCTAAAATATCTCTAACATCTTCTATATCTTAAGCCTTTCTAGTAAATGACAAAAACACAATATCAATATTATGTTTTAAACCAAATTTAACAAGATCTTCCTCTTCTTTTTCAGTCACAGTTGGTAAATCAATAATAGCTCCAGGCAATGACATATTTTTCTTTTCTCCAAATGATGCATCATTCTAAACTGTTACTAATACACTGTTCTATTAATGAAAATAATAACCCTTTTTATACCTCTTTTATTTCATCAACTATTGTAACCACAGATCCATCAGCTATTAAGATTTATGATCCAACATGTACTGTTTTACATAAACTTTAGTAGCTACATGCGATACATTCTGATGTCCCTTCAAATGAATAATCAGTAGCTTAATAATATAAGATTATTAATACTTATTTCCAACTTTTATCCTTTCTTCAATACAATCTATTTATGTTCTTTATTCAAACCAGTTCTAATTTCTGGACCCTTTGTATCTAAGGCTATTGCAACTGGCTTATCTTTTCTTTATTTAAAAGCTTCTCTCAATTTGGCTACTGTCTCTCCATGAACCTTATGATCTCCATGAGAAAAATTGAGTCTAGCAACACTCATTCCAGCATCTATTAATTATACTAAAGTAGGCACATCCCAACAAGCAGGACTTATTAATTACTAAATATTTGTTACCCTATTGTACAAATGATTTTTGTAGCTCTTTTAGAATAATCTGTTTCTGATAAGATTGTTTATAATTCATAATGCGCAAAAGAATCACATTACATTTTTTTTTATTTATAATAATAATAATAAAATTCTTTTTATAATATAGAAAAATCTAATTTTCAATTAATTATGCATTAATTTATATATATATACAATATTATATTCAATTTAAGATTCATTTGAAATAAGGTCTTAACTTTCTTATCAAATTAGTTTTATTTTTACTCAAATTTATATCATTTGGTAATGTTCTAATCCTTATATTCTGATTTAATTATGTGTCTGATTTTTATTAAATTAGAATATTGATTTATTTATTGATAAATTAGTTTTATTTTTAATTTAATTAAATCTATTTATCTCCATTATCTTGAGATTTAGATTGAATTAATTATTAAGATAATCTTCCAATATCTATACTTCTTTTTTAAGCCAAGAAATATTTATTGAATTCATTTAGACTTGATTATTTAATCAAAGGTAATTTTTAATCTTCATGAACATAACCCTTTATTTTTTTATTTTTATCTATAACATATTGAGCTATAACACTATGAGATGCTTTTCTATTGAATATATTAAGATTTTGATTACAATGTACCCTAGGTGTCAAATATTAATTTATAGTATTTTCAGAAACTTAAATTTTACTAAATTAAGTCTTCTTAAATTAGATCTTTGTCACAATTTAAGGAGAAGATTCACAAGATGAATCAACTTAATCCTAAATGGAATTAAATATAAATTTACAAACTTTTTTGCCATCACTTCTTGATATCTTAACAATTTATCTCTTGAGACAAAAATATTATTTTAAGGTTCTTAAATACATGTCTTTCTTTTTAGTATCAATCGAGAAAATCTTTATGAATAAATTAACATCTATATTTTTTTTTCTAATTCAATATCCAATTTTAATATTGGACCTTAATATAATTAATCACTTATTGTTTTAGCTCTCTTATGAGTAATTTTATTTTATTATTGTAATATAGAACTTCTGCTTCTTTATATTTTCTATTACTTTTTAAGATTTGATCTTTTCATAAATTCTAATTGAATTATTCATATACTATACTGCATTTTTATTCGATTCAATTTTTTCTTTTTATAAACTGCCACATCTCTATTATGTTAACAAATAAACACATAAGGTGCATAACTATCTAATCTTCTTTATTTTAAACTAATGTAATCATATTAACTGGCTCTTCTAATATTTGCTTTTTATTAAGGTGTTTCATAAGCTACATTACTTGTTAATGATATTGTATCCATTATATCATGTTTTTCTGATCTTTATGATTTTCTTGCTGAATTTCTATAATTTGATGAGTATGGTATCAAAAGCATATTTTTAAATTTGGGTTACATTTTGGACAATTGATTCTATTATAATAAGTTTATGAATGGTAGATCAAAAGAATGAGATCGCTTTCTATTCTAATTTAATAATTCTAAACTTTATAACTTCATTTCTTCTTCTTTTATATTTGTAATTAAGCTTTTTTTCATTAATGTATTGAGAATTAACATTTAATAATTTTAAATACTTTTTACAATTATAATGATAGGATTATTTGTAGTTGAAGCTATTGTAGGAATGCGTAAAAATCTTTCAAAAATAGAGTATTAAGTCAAATGGCTTGGTTATTCCAAAGAAGAAAATACATGGTAAATTGTATTTTACTAAAAAATAATACTTTAGGGAATTACAAGAAAATTTAGTCTAAAATTGTAGTGATTTAATCAACTAATATCATTAGAATGAATTTTTCCAAAAATTTAAGGGTCTTATTGCTAATTACAGTGAGATTAAAGGAAATTTGAGAACTGATAAACCTTTTTAAATTGTTAGAGAATTTGAAACTCAATTTTTAGTTAAATTTATTAATTATTTTAGATCGCTTATTATCCAAGGAAAAATTAGTTTGTTGGTTCATCCCTAATTAATAAATCAGAAGCTCCAATAGATCTATTATAAGAATTTTATTGTAAATAGGAAGAAGATATAGGATAACAAGAATACTAAAATTAATAAATTGGTTGTATTTTAGATTACTATGAAAAATAATCATATGTTGTCTTATTATAATCAAAAGAGAGAATTTTTGTTGATAACTAAATAATTATAGATCGTTAACCAGAAATAATGCTAGATTATCTTGAAAATATGAATTGGATTACAGGAGTGGATGAATGATTATTTTTTATAAATATTTTGATTTAATAGAATCAAACATTCAAATATTATTTGATATCTTCTATCCCTTTACTTCTAGATATTAAAATATGTGTATTAAAACATATAATGTTCTAATTATCTATAAATTTAATATAATACGTTAAATACTGCATCATAATGAAGATTTGAATATAAATTGTGTTCACTTATAATAGTACTTTGCAATAAAAAATAACATAAATTAAATAATGTAACAATAGCCAAGTTTGTTTTTTTAGTGTCAATCATATGTTGCTGAATAGAGCAAACCTGTAAGCTTGATTGAGTTTACAAAAGAGGATTAGTAAAATTAGTTACCTTAAGAATAATTATCAAATTCTCGAAATCAAATATCAGATCATAAACCTAAATTAAGCCTTTAAAATGACAAGAGTATAAATTTGTTGTCATAATATAGATAGTTAATCCATACAATTCAAATTGGGCTAATTTTTAGCTTAATAAACGATACAAAATACAAGTTAGATGCTAAGGAAATTAATGGGTTATAAAGAAAGTGATAGATGATGAACCTTCAAAATCTATGGTAAGTAGTATGCCTAATCTTCCTAAACCTATTTAAAGTCAAGGAAAATTATTCTCAAATACTGTCTCAAAATAAATTAAACAAAGAGTTAATAAATTTATTGTAGATTAGCATCGATAATATGCATTAACACCAAACGAAGTTCTGTCTTAATAAAATTCATCACTTCCACATTTAAATACAAACCATAATAATCATAATAGCCATAACAACAAAAATAAATAAAATAATAATGATATTCACAACAATAATAATAATAATAATAATGAAAATATAATTAAAATTCGCTTAAACTCAGAATCTCCAAAATAAATGCCTATTTTTGATATTAATTTTATCAAAAACCTTCAGCAATTCATAGTATGAAATATAAAACATGTTTAATACATCTTATTATATTGTGTAATTGTCATAGTAAATTAAAACATTCAATAGCTGAGCTTTCCAAATATCATCATTGGTGAAATTGAATCCTCATCTACATAAGTTCTAATGTTCGAGTTTTCTTCGTTCAAAAAAGACTCTTGCTTTTGTACTATAATTTGCATTTTTCTTAAGATTTTAGAATGATTTCTGGGTAATTTGAGTGATTCTACCATTTTGTGTAAATCTAATAAACTCATATCTGGCCTTTAAACAAATTCAATGATTTATTTTGGACAATAAGCTAGATTATGAAAGGGCAAATATGATGACATTTTTTATTCGTTAATAAACAAAGTATAATAATAAAGAAAATTAATTGAAAATCAATATCTATGATTAGCTTAACCAAAATATCACTTATTATATTATATAAATATACTAAGGAGCAATTTATTTGAAGATATTTTATTAGAAATACAAGTGTAATGAACACTTAAACCTTATCTCATTATTTTAAACAATTTAATTTTTAAATAAAACTATAAACATTATTAAATAAAAAAAGAAGAATTTCACAAGTTCATTATTGTAAAATGACTTTAAATAATTATTGTGTTTGTGATAGCATTATTTATTGTTAATAATATTACTATTTACTCAAATCTATGTAAAATAGTCACTTTAACAATCTAAGTACCAACTATAAGATTCTTTCTTTATTATTCCTATAGAGAAATCGAATATACTTTATAGATTTTCTACTTGTATACATATAAGTAGAAATGTATTAAAATATTGTTAATTTTAGAATCTATAATATTTAATGAACTATTTAAAATTATTCCAAAATAGTATAATATTCTAAAGATATAATAATAAAATAGATTCAGAAGTTGAATAATTTTGAACATTTATCATCTGTGAATAGTCATTTTATTATATGGAAGGTGATTAATAATGTAAACATCCAAGGCTCAATAGAAATAATAAATTATGTATATATTTAACTTAAATTTTGTTTTTATATACTTTAAGAAAATTAAAAGAGAAATAAAATATATATCATAAATATTTTGACATTCCTCAATGGAAATAAGCTTGAATGAAATTATTAATAAGTTAACATACAATTATTTTCTTATCACTAGATGGATATTTATAAATATAATCTAAATCTAATAAATTAATATCACCAATTGATTATTAAAATTAAATAATGAAAAAAAAAATTTCTTAGATAAAAATTTACTACAATATTTAAATCATTTTGAAAAGTAATTGACTTCGAGATTATTTTAGTCAAAATTAGCTGCATCTTCATTAGCCATATCTAAATCATAATCATCATTTGATTATCGAAATTTTCGATTCTCTTTATGCTCTTAGCTTTATTTAAATGAAGTATATGATTTAGAATCTTTTCTTTTTGAAAATTATTAAACACTATTATGAATATAAGTTTAAGATTCAATCTAGATTAAAGTATGATTGCTTATTTAATAATTATTTTATTTGCTTGTGGCTTCACTTTTATGTTCGATAGATGTAGTTTTTTGTAATTAAATTTACTAAATCTATTTCTAATTATTATGATCAAAGTATTTTTCATGTAATTATTTCATAAATTTAACATGATTTTAATATTCTTATTTTAATCCAATTACTTAACCTTCTTCATCTACAGGTGGAATTATATCTAAATCATTCTATTATCTAATATCAGGTATTGAATTTGGATCTATTTATAAATCTTACTATTATTATTTTTCTATTGTTTTTAATTCCCAATCATATAATTAATGATTATATTCAAGTAATTATTTTTCAAATAAATTTCTTAAATGTGAATAATTAGGTTATTATTAAAAAAGCAATGATTTAACATGTTGAAAGTAATGAATAAAACACTATAATAATAATAATGTATACTTTAGGTAAATTAAAACATATTTAATTTAAGGACAAACTCATTTTAATCTATAAAATTTATTCATATTTATCATCTTTATCAGCAGCCTTTATATTTGACCAAGGCAACTCTCCTTTTATAAGATATATCAACATATAACCTAAACTTTCAAGATCATCTCTTCTTGATTATTCCATCCCTTTATATATATATATATGTACATTGTAATGTATTAATACTAGCATATCTTGCAGTTCCAATTACACCTGTTTTTTATGTAAATTCTATATGTCTACCATCAGTCACTCTATAATATTTTGACAAACCAAAATCAATCAAATAAACCAATGATGTATCCTCTTTAGAAATTAAAAAATTCTCAGGTTTAATGTCTCTATGAATAAAATTCATGCTATGAAACACTATAATTATTTATAAACAAATAAAACCTTCTAAACGATCTATCAATTATATAGATAATTGAAGTACAGTTTATAATGTAAATTTACCACCGCATTTTTATAATAAGACTTCTAAATTCTCACCCAACAATGTACTTATATAATATTAATATTGGCTATCTTTGCCATAATGAATTAATTCTGGAAAACCTGAAATTGAATGTATTAAATTTATAACTATTTACCATTTATGCCTTTCAATTATTTCAAAATAAGTATCTCTCTATTCATCATTCTTAATTATAAATTTCGACTTTCAAATTTTGTTGCACAATATTCCTTCTCTTCTAAATCATAAGTTAAGTAAACAATTCCAAAGCTACCACTCCCTATCTTCTTAAGCAATTTGAATCTAGACTCAATTATTAAACCAGGTTATAAATTATTTTTTTAATCCATCTTATTTATAAATTTTATATATGTTAAACAATTTTACACTTTTATATAATTATGTTATTTTTCTTCGTTATAAATTAAAACAAAACAAAAGGACAATTAAGAATCAAATTACTTATAATCATTATTTAAACAAATAATTATTTTTAAAGATATTATTCAAAGTTTTATTAAATTTTATATAATTTATATATAAAAAGAATGAATATGTTAATAAAACTATACAATTAGATATTATTTTAATCCTATAAATGAATATATTCAAATATTCAAAGTAAAAATTTAATCAAACTTTTTTTACACTTAATCAACATAGATAAATTTCTTTATTTTTATAATATTTTATACAAATTTTCATCAACATTAAGTAATCATACTGTTTGGAACTTTTTATTTTTTATCACCAAATTTACAAAAATTTCAATCAATTTTTTAATTACAAAATATATAATAATAATTGTTATTTTTAAGCATATATTTTATATACATCCAACTTAGTTTAATGTGTATATGTGTTTAAGAAGTCATTTGTTATTTATATTTTCTATATTAAAATTTTATTATGACGATAATTACGATAAATTCTGAATTCAAATTATAAAAAATGCGGTTATAAAAATCTGAAACTCCTTTTTTTATTCGTATAATAAAAGTATCATATTAGAGGAAATGCTTGTAAAATAAGAGGATTCATATGAAGGAGCATATGTAAACGGTTAGAAACATGGTAAAGGCCTATAAAAATGGGCTAAAGGAGATTCATATAATGGAGATTGGGTCAATGGTAAGAGAACGGGAAAGGGTCATTATATTTGGGCTAATGGAGATTAATATGAAGGGGATTATCTGAATGGTTAAAGACATGGAAAGGGTCAAATGAGATGGAGGGATGGAGCAACATACTAAGGAGAGTGGGTCGGTGATAAAAGAACTGGAAAGGGTTAAATGAAGTATGTAGATGGTGGATTATATGATGGAGAGTATTTAAATGATGAAAGACATGGAAAAGGACAATATAAATGGGCTAATGGAAATTAATACTATGGAGATTGGGTAAATAATAAGAGAACTGGAAAAGGTCAAATGAAATGGGCTGATGGATCATTATATGATGGGGATTGGGTCAATGATTAAAGACATGGAAAGGGTTAATTTAAGGCGGCCAATGGCGAAAAATATGATGGTCAATGGATAATGGACAAGAAGATGTGAATAATTAAATATTATTCATGTATTAAAATAACATCATCATATAAAATCTAATAATTAATTCATTATCGATGATGTCATAATAAAATTCACTCGAAATAAATAAATTATTATTTTCTTAACTCTTTTACATATTATTTTCGAAATTTTTTTTTTTGATTAATCTGTATAAATTTAATAAATTCTCTTTAATTCAATTAATTATTATCAATATGTCCATTTGTATATTGCTCATTATATTAAAATTATATAGTTCATATTTTTAATATATGAACTTTAAATACTAAATATTTACTGATATAAATTATTCTTGCTTTAAATATCTTAATAGATAAAAAAGCATAAAGCAAAGTCATTGAATTATATAATTATTTAAATAAATAAATCATTTCTAATCATTGACTTTGATTTAATTTAAAATTTATTCATTATAATTTAAAATAGTAAACGTTATGATTAGAACAAATTCAAGTGTGGAAATTCAAAAATAGTAAATACCACTGTAATAGATAAGTCCATTTAATGGTCAAATACAATATAGTAACTCTTTTTTGGATGCACCAAGTACTCCTTAAAAATCTATTATTATATAATAAATTAGAGGATCATCTACATTTACACCTAACAAAACTTAATAAGCATTTCATATTAAAGAAAATTCTAACTCAATTGAGAGTAAAATATAATTATTAGTGAATGAGAATTGTTATCTCAATTAATAGTTAGAAAAAACTAGAAATGAATTATTAAATAATACTTAATAGTATCAATAATTACACATAATTAAAGAGAGAGTTAGTAAATTGGAAGAATTAATAGATACACAATAAAATGAAATAGAAACATGGAAATTAAGATATTAAAAAGCAGCAGCTGGAGATTCAAGACTAGAAATATAATAAATGGAATAGTAGATAGTTAATGTTATTGATGAGAATGAAAGATTGAATAAGATTATTTCAAATTTAGAATAAAAGCAATAAGAAAAGAATGAAGAAATAAAAAGTCTTATGATAAATATTCAAAAATAAAGGGATAAATTAATAGTATTTGAAAAATCTAATAGACCTGTAGTTTTGTGTAATTCATTTGCAATTGAAAATAAAAAAGCATCTAAATCTTCAATAAGTGATGTAAGACAAAATAAATGTAAAATAAATGATCAAGATTAAATTACAAATAGGAATAAATGTAATAAAAGTGATCATACCTACAGATAAGTCTAATCTAAAAATCAATTAAACATTGCTGATTTATAAAATTAAATCAGATAATTATAAAATGACAAATAGTAGTTGTAGATTTAAGTAGAAGATTTGTAATAAAAATTATAAGATAAAAATCATAAAATATGCGAGATAAAGGATTAATAAAAGGTTCCAGACTCAAATTAAAACATATCAATATTAAAATAAGTAATAATTAAAGATTATCAAATAGGAAGTTTAGAATTAGTAAATATTGATCTTAGCAGAATTTAAAAAATATAAGTAGTGTTAGTCGCAAAACTAAATGATTAAAGAACAATTAATTTAATGGGAAGAGCATTTGAAATCTTTAAATAGTAAAATAAATACAGAAAATGTTCAATAAGATTATATAGATTATGCTATTGAGGAATTTCAAATTAGCTCAGCTAATTGCTTAAAAATAATTGATTAATTTGAGAAATGATTATATAAAATGATATTTAAACTTTTTAATTAATGAATCAAACATCTATTTTTGAATATCTTGATAACCTAAAATTATAAATGACAGACCCAATCTAAAAGCAATTAGAATATTATCATAATAAAAAAATGACTGTAACTTCATAACGACAAATAGCTATACCAAAATTATAGTCACCTTAGATAGTTTATTAAGAACCAAAATTTTTGTCTCTTAGAAAGACAGTATCACAATAAGAAATGTGTGTATCTAAATTTCATACATAAATAAATCCTAATAATCAAAAAAGGGACAATTATGAATAAAGAATTACTTTCTAATGAATTTTTATAATAAATTAATATCTAATTATAAAAATCATTATTTAATGAAATCTGGATGCAATACAATTAAGAATGATTAAGAGTATATTAAAGAGATTCACTCTAAATGGAGAAATTCCGACATTAAATAAACCTAAATTAGCCAAATTAAAAAATTATAATTAACATTTACTGAGTAGAAAAATTTAGACTTTCAACTACCTGATGTTTTTATAACTACTAAATAAATAAATACAAATCCATAAAGTAATTTTTAAGTTAATTTTGAGAGATTAAGAAAATTAAGAAAATACCATCATTAAGTTTTGATTAAAATATGTAGACTAATGTTTAATCAAAACAATAAAGAATCAAAGAATTGTCTACAATTTAAGCAAAATATTATAAATTTAAGTAATAATAATTTATTAAGTTAGAGATCTCTCTTGTTCTGTAAGAACAACTCCTTAATAAGATAATCTAAATAAAAGTTTGTCTATTCCTAAAAATGAGAATCTCTATGAAATAGATGGTACTAAATTTCCTTATGGATTATATACAATGCATAAAAAAAGAAGAGATTAAATCTAAGATTTATTTCATAATTAAAATTCATAAAGATCTAAGAAAATATTTTCAGATTATGAAGATTCAAGAATTAATTAATGTATTATTATTAATTCTTAATTATATAGCTGATTAAGTAAATAAAGAGAATAAATAAAAAGAATATACAAGTAGGTCTTTTTTAGATAATGCTTATTATTCAATTATATGTGCTAAAAAGAATTGCAAATATCGTATTAAAATTAAGATACGAGATTCTCTTCCAAAAGAATCTAGATTTTAGTAATGTTGATTGTTATTGAATATGTTTTCATATCAAAAAATTATTATTAATTTAATGTCAGAATCTAAAGACTTTTAAAAAGAGAATTAATTGATTAAACAATAATTGCTACAATATTGGCTTAAAATTTCAAAAACTCTTGATGAAGAATATGAAGAAATTCTTTAATTAGGATCTGATTCTGATCCTAATGATATTATTAATGCATTATTTATAATTGAAGATGCTAGATAAGAATAATAAAAGGTATAATTATTAATATTGATCTAGTCAGATAAATAATAATTAGAGTCATTGAAAAATCAAATTGAATCATACAAATAACAAATTATTACTTTATAATAATAAAATGAGAAATTACCATAATCTGATACTAAACCAGAATTCAATTAAGAAATAAGATAATTAGAAATAAAAATAAATGAATTATTATTAGCACTTGTAAAAAGTAAAGAAGAGAAAATTATATACATGGAATAAGCTCAAAAATAGATATAACTTCTTAAAGAATAAGAATTAGAATTAAAAAGCAAATTATAAATGCTTTAATTTGAAAAATCAAAGAAGTCATCATTTGCTGAACCAGAAGATAATATAAGAAAAAGTTCTAAAGATTATATTGAAGAGGATATCTCACGATAATCTGTATCTCCTTAGACATAAAAAATAAAATTAGATTATTCTAAATTAAATATAAGCTAAAGTTTGAAAAAATTAACAAAGGTAGATTAAGTTTAAGGAGCATCATAAACATCATTCAGATTTGGTAATAAATGAATTTTCAATATATTTCCTCTATAAATTTAATGTTGAGTGAACCTAGTATTTGCAATTATTAATATATATATAATCTCTTAATTTTATAACTATTATATTAATATAAATGTATTCTTAAATTTCTATTAAATAATTAAAAACAATTATAATCAAAATTATATAAAGATATTCTAATAATTTTTATATAAATTTTGATTTATTAAATCAAATTTCTTGTATTTTTACATCTTTTGATATTATTGCATCTCTTTCTTGACTTTTTTCAACTCTACCAATTACCCAACCCCATTCTCCAATTAATTTTTTATAATCTCTAAGAAATGAATCAGGATCTTTTGTTGCTAATAGTAATCCTCCAGATGTTTCAGCAGCAAAACCTTCTAAAAATCTAAAATCTCTAGCCTTTTTATCTAATTTATATAGATTTCGAATGATAGGTAAATTATCAATAACAAATTATACTTTTCTTTTTTAAGCTTTAGCAAGATATTTAGCATGTCCTAAAATTCCAAATCCTGTTACATCTGTTGATGCTTTAATTTTATGTTTTTTAAATAATGATGCAGCTGCAGCATTTAATGTACACATGCTTTTAGTTGCATGATCAAATGCTTCATTAATTTCTTTTTCATTTGTTAATCCTTTAATTGCATCCCATTTCTATGGTATAGTGGTCATCCATTAATATGTATTTACAGCTAATTAAACACCCAAAGGTTTTGTTAAAACTAAATAATCACCTGCTTCTGCACCATTAGGCATAATAAAGTCATCTTTATGATTTGAAGCTATTCCAACACCACCTCTAATAATAATAAATAAACTTAATACATTTATGGCCAAGGACTCTAAACACTTTATCCTCCAGTTACAGATGTTTTTGCTTCTTTAGCACAATCATTAAAACCTTCTAACATAAGTGATGTAGATATTTGTTTCTCTTCTTCTGTCATTTTGGTGCAAACACCTAATACCATTAGCATTGTATCAACTTGAGTTACACCCATAGCATAGAGGTCACTCAAAACATTACAACAAGCTATTCTACCTTATGCATAAGGATTTGCTACTAGTGGATAGAAATAATCAATTGTTGAAATAGTATGAAAATCCTTTGTTTGTTTTACAGGGAAAACAGAAACATCTGGTGTTTCCTTTCCAATATCACCACTACCAATCTGACCTAAGTATTTCAACAATTATGTTTATGGAACCTTACATCCACATCCTTTTAATTCTGTGAAGTTAGTCATGGCAAAACCTTTTGATAAACCATGATCTTCAGGTTACCAATTAAATAATTTAGGGTATTTTGTAGCCAGGTTTGATGGTTTGATAAACCTTTTCATTTAATATAAATTAAAATTCCTATCACATCATGATTCGGTATTAATTACATATTATTTTTCATGTCATCATTTATAATATATATATTTACAAAATTTAAGAACAATATTTCATTAAAAGCTTTTAGATATAGTATATATATATATTTATCATATTTAAAGATTTATTATCTTTAGAATCTTAATTATCTATTTGATATTTGAATATTATTGTATAATATATATTTATTAAATTAATGTTTCAATTAATAGCATTACATTACTAATAAATTATATTATATAGTTATTATAATTAAAAAAAAATGTTGTTTTAGGATTATAAAGACTTTGTGAAACTAAATAATTAGTTAAATGAAATACATATTTTTTCACTTATTAATTTTTATTATAAGTATGAAATCCGATTTCTTAAAGATAACTATGAAATTCCCTTCCAAGTTATTTATATTTATTTAATAAACTACTAAATCAGGAATTATCTTAGTATATCTGTATAAATAACATTAGACTAAACATTATTAAATCTATATTCTTATAAAAAACTATTTCAATAAATAAATTTATCTATTTAGTTATAAAACTTGAATAATAATCTCATAATTTCAATAATTTATTTAAATTCATTAATTCTCTAAATTAAGTAAATCTAATTCATTAATTTCTTTTAATTGAATACAATAATTCATATATCTGATCAATTTTGTAACTTAATTACCTATATATTATATATATTATATTTTGATTATCCATCCATTTTTATTCATATGATTTACATTACTTTAAAAACAGTATAACAAAAAATAATTCTGTTATCCTTAATTTTTAATCAGTATCAAATAGGACTTTCTGCATAATTTTGATATATTATTCTTCTTGAGAGTGAGTATTAACATAAATGACAGCTAATAGTATCTATTTGTTCAATATTATATATTAACTCATTCAAAATCTGTTTTTACTTTCTATTATTGAACAAAATAGTGTAATGAAATTCATTAACAAAATAAATTTTATTTTTATATGAAATTATTTTACAAAGACTTAAGTTTCTTCTTTTCCTTTAAAAATTAAGTATAAATTAGCTTAAATGTTTAGTTTCAGTAGGTTTTAAACCGATTTTAGCCCTGATGTTTATTATATAATAAAATTAGTAAATTATTTCAAAAATGAGTTCACCCAAAACCTTCAGTAGACCAACTCTTTAAGCCTATTCTAAACCTTCTTTATTTGCTCCCAAAACAGGCTCTCCAAATTCTTTATAAATAATAAAAAGTAAAGAAGTTCTTAAATTCCCAATAGCAAAATAATCCAGTAGTATCCATATAAAAACTCCAATTCACAAAACAGAAAGAGCAAGGACATTTAACTTTAGTGAAACAGATTCTAAGCCAGAATCAAAAAGATGTGATGCAGTCGGTAAGATAGAAAAATCGATCAATATACTCAGAAAAACAAAGGGTTAAGTTGATTTCTCATTTCAGATTAAAGTAGAAGAAATAATAAATGAAATGATGACAATATGTTGTATTGATGGAAAAGTCTAAAAATTATTTCTTTAAATCAAAGAGGAACGTGATTAAAGAAAATAATCCTAATTAAAGACCTTAAAATTCATTAAAGGTTAATAAGATTAAATAGAATAATTAGTAAATATATAAATAATCTTAGAGAAGACGATGTTAGGAATACTACTGAAAAGAATATTATATATTTTATTAAGTTATAATTACAAGAAACAATTTTAAATATAAATTAATCCATTGTCTTCAAAAATTAACGATTTTAAATATATTTAGATATATACTTCTAAAATTCAAAGCACAATTTCAAAATATCTACATTTCATAATTCCAAACTAATAAATTAACTGATGCCATTATTGATGAATATTTGATAATCTAAAACTAAATAATTGAATAGAATGTTAAATTTTATTCATAAAAAACATTGATTAAAGTAAAAAACGATTTTAATCAATCCCTTGGTTTTTGATTATAATTTATAATAAAATAATCTTGGTTTTATTTTTAGAAATTTTTGTTATAATAAGATAAATTACAAAATATCTAAATTAGTAGAAATAAAAAATATTAGAATTTTATTCCATAATTTTTATATGTTTAATAAAAAAAAAGACTATATAAAAAAAAAATATAAAGACGTTCCTCCATTAAACATTGGTGATGTGAATAGAATATTACAATAATATAAGAATGATGAAGATAAATTTAGAATGTTTACATCAATTTTAGAAATATAAAAATAGCATACTACACGAACTCATTAAAGTAATACAGAGGAAATACTTAGAAATAATGTATAGAGATTGATTGAACTTTATGGTGATGTAGATATTAATCATGATGCTCTCAATAATATTTATAAAAATATTGATGAAAATTAAGACATCTAAACTTAGATAGAAAAAATTGAATATAGCAATATATTTTAAGGCAATATGAATTCTTAAATAATAAGTGTATAAAGACAGATTGAGAGATATGATCATTATTTAAATGTCATCTAAACTAAGCTTTCTAAAAATGTATTCACTAATTACTCAAGTTATCTCTAAGCTCTTACTCATATTGATTAAATTGGAAATATTAGTTAAGAGTTACTAATTAAAGTTAGATAGAGCAGAGAAAAGATGTAGAAAACCTAATAATTAGTTTTAAAGCAAAGTAAATAGATTTTAGAGAAAAGACAATAAATCTTAAATAAATAAGTAAATATATAATATTATTATAGTAATTGATAGAAACATTAAAAAAAGTCAAAGATTATTATGCTTTACCTTATGAAAGATTTATATTGAGTATGTAGAATGGATATATAGATGCATCTATTTACCTACCTACAATAATTGTACTTTTTATCTAATAT